TATAAATATAATTATAAATATCAAGTATGAAATAATTTTAATGATTTTTTTAATGACATCTTGATACAGTAATATAGTACTTTATAGGTCAATTTAGTTGTAAAAACAAAGTTGTTAGGTATATAATATATTATTAATTTTAATAACATATAAAATATTATGAATAGAAAGATAAAAGTTAAATATTTTAATATACCTTATTATATTGTGAATAGTTTTGTTTTAGTCAAAGTTATTTTTAGATATTAATACATATAATAATTTTAAATTAATTAAATAACTATATAAATACCTAACTAAATTATTTAATTTTTTTAAATTCTATACTAGAGTAATACATTACTTTATATTAGTGATTTTTTGTGAAGTTGGAACAAGATGTAAAACTAAAAACATAATACTAATAGAACAATATAAGACTAAAATGGTTTTTGACTACTATCAGTAAGTAGTAGTTTATTTTATGGAAGTTAAGTAATAGATCAATAGTCCTTAGACATGGCCAACTGAATGGAACAACATGTATAAATATCATTCATCATATCACTGATAAATAAACAATATATAATTAACAATTATATAATAAATATTAAATAATAATGAAGGACGGGTTGTGAACATTTACATCCAAAATCTTGATTTTAAGCAACACTGTATGAGTTCAATATTTGTTAAAATCAGATTAATAACAAAAAACCAATAGTCTGTATTCAGTACTCAAGAAATATTGCACAAAAGTTGTATTTGGTTAGTGCACTAAAGCACAATCTTGTATGCTATAATATGCCCATAATAACCCTTGATAAATAAGTTGTATAATGTAAAGACATTGTTCAAGCAATGAAATAAATCCAAGAGTATAATACGTAAAAAAWATTTGTTGACAAGATAATTTATGGTAATTCATCATCGGAGCTAAGCAACATCGCTTTTTCATTGTACACTGGTGTTTGTTTCTTAGCAGACTTTGATTTTCCACTGGTATCGGTGATTCCACTTTTTGATCCGTAGTTTTTTTGGCCACCTGTAATATTTAAAACCKGGTTTTAGAATTTAGATTTTAAAAAAATTATTCACATTTCAACCAATTAAACATGTTATAATGTATCTATTAGGTTTACCTGCAGTGGTTTTTTGTAAAGACTGATAATTTAATACTATTTGSTATGACTTATGATGGTAATAGTTTTTAATATAGGTAGTAGTGATGAACATGCAGATATTCTAGAATATCAATGGAAGGATCAATAAAAATATTTTTAGTATGGAAAACTTCTGTATTTATTATAAATGTACAATTAATTCTAATTAACTATAAAATATAAAATTGCGAGGATCGTTCCCCAAACACTTTTACAAGTGTAATGATATAGACAATATAGTGCTTATCTAAAAATACATATAATCATATTAAATTGATTTAATCATACATAATTTAATATAAATACCTATTTATTTAGTTACATAAATATTAAAATWAAATTAGCTAATTACTTTTAATAGGTACATTTAAGCAATAGTTTAAAAGTAAATTTCTAATTTGTTTATAATACAGATCACAAACTTAAAAAATAATGTCCTTAAAGTAATTAGTGCATAGAAAAATGTACTGTTCATAAGTTTTTGTTGATATAATATACAACAAAACAATATACTTACTATTTTTTGAGAAAAATGTTGACTAGTAAGAATAATGAGAGAAAATTA